GGAGGGTGTTGTTGTTTTTTTTTTTTTTCTCTCTCTCTCTCTCTCTCTCTCTCTCTCTCTCTCTCTCTCTCTCTCTCTATATATATATATATATAAATATATATATGTGTGTGTGTCAGATTATAGCAGTTGGCTAGTTTTAAATGTAGTGTAACAGAGGATAGGCACATACTGTACCTGACATCGAATTGCCAAGCACTTGGCTTCAGTTAAATCAAACAAAGCATTGATGGCTCCCCAGAACTTTTTGGAACAATCAATATTTAACATTTTCTGTATTTTAATTTAAATGTCATGTAATCTGCTTGTTTCCGTCTTCCCTTAACACTTCCAAGTCCATCTCATCAAACTTCATTTTGCACACATCATCAGCATTGTGTATCAGCTTGTGCAGGACTGAACAAGCAATTTAGCGCAACATATTTGTCATCTGAGTCAATCAGGCCCCATGTGTTTGTGTCTTTTTGTGCAGCCTCACAGCATTTCGCTGGGTTGTACCAGCGAATGGACAAGTGGTGTTGAAGATATGGTTTTACTCTGGCTCCCCTGGGAAATTTGAGCAGACCTTCAACTTTGAGCTACTCGGGACTCACAAAGTCTATCAGCTCCTCTGCAAAGGAATTTGCACATTTCCCTCCTTCTGCCAAGACTACAAGTCAGTCACTTAGAAATAAAGATGTCGAGTATTATATTGTACTTATTGAACTGTAATGATGCGATTTTTGTTTTTCACTGCAAGATGTTGCCACTATCTCTAAAATCCTTGTTGGAATTTGTAAAAGAAATGGCTTCCGTTTACGGATTGAGCCTATACTATACTTTGTATATTAATGAGGAAATGTTTTTAATTCATTCTTTTTATTTTTCCACAGGGTTCTTTTTCCCTATTGTCGAGATGTGCCAAAATTCATCCAGGGGATCAAGAGGACATATGTTGTGAATCCCGGATTCTATGAGTTTGGACCATTACTCTGCAGCAAGACCAGAGACAGGTGAGAAGAAAAATGAGGCTGGAACTGGGTTTTTTTTCTTTTTTTTTTTCTCCCCCAGCTGCACATGACTTGGATATGTCTGTCTGCAGGTACAAGGACAATCGGTATCCAGAAAACACAGAGAGAATGGTGATCAAGAATAATTCCGGACTCGAGGCCGAGATTCAGTTCCATTTCCAAAATGACACCCAGGCCATCACATACATGTTAGATCCTCCCAGCATGACTCTACAACCTGACCAGGAGCAGGTAACATGTTTACTGTCACTTCAAATTGCCCCATAGAGTTGATTGTTTCCACTTGCCACGTGTCTGGTCTATCACAACAGCTACAGGAGAATAATTAGTCACCATTTGTTTTGTTTAACTTGGGCTAGCTATTGGCCATCTGTAGTTTAGTGCACCGGTGGTTTCTTTTTTTTCATGGTCATGGTTATATTGTCTATGTCCAGAGTTTGTGCAATGGTAATGGTTGGTTTTCCATGTTCTATTAGCATCCCAAATGCAATTTATTGTTTGAATAAAAGGAAGATATCAACGTAATATGAAAAACTCTATTACTGTACTGTACTTATAGAGATGACTGTTTTCACATTCTATTGGATTATTATTCTACCTTGTCAGGAGTTGACGGTCTGGGCTTACCCAACAACTCCGGGAGAAATCAAGGACAATATTGTGTGCTGTATCAAGGATAATCCAGAGGTTTTCACCATCGCTCTCTCCTGCTTGGGAGTGAGACCAGAGCTGGAGCTCGAAAGCAAGCGTATGCATTTCAACAGGGTTTTACTTCACAGGTACAGTCGCTTTTCCAACAATCACTGTCCGCCAGCCCCGTTTCCCATGCGTCAGAGGCTTTACCCATCATAATATTGAAATGAAACTGTATGTCTTCTGCACTAAAGGCAGGAGAGTCGAAGTGTGAAGCTCCACAACAGGACTCCTCTGCCAATATCTTGGAGGCTTCATGGCTTAGAGGAACTAGGCGATGAGTTCAGTGTATCTCAGGACCACAGTGTCGTTTTACCCAACACTTCCCTTCTCCTGACAATGCACTTTTTGGCCAAAAAGCCATTGAATATTAAAAAGCAGTTACGCCTTGAGGTAAATTACAATAATGCATGGATACATGACATTGTGGGGAGTGATATTTATCAGGGCAGTTTCACCCATGATGCGTATCTGCTGTATTTTTTTTTCTCCCCCAGGTTTCGGATGCAGAAAATATTTTGGGCGTCTTATACACTGACAAAATACAGGTCTCTGCAGAGGGCTTTGATATAGCCATGGACATCACGCCAGGTACAAATCTAAAGAGCTTAAAATACACATTATGAAAAATATTTCTTTTAGATATTGATATGGCATAGTTTTGCCAGGTTATTAATTAATCTGATACTCTGTGGCAGATGGCTGTCTGGATTTTGGAACTATAAAAGTCTTTGAAGAGGTAGAACGTACCATCAAACTGAAAAACCAAGGAAAATATGAATTTGTATACAAGTGAGTTTAGGCGACTTATAGGTATTTAATGTATGCCTTTGTAATACTGCATTACTGTTAAGACTCCTTCATGGAGAGCATTTTTTTTTTTCTAAACAAGGATTTTAGTTGGGGACAAAAACCCCAACCTAATCTCAGCCTTCACGATGTCCCCTGCAACTGGTACCTTAATTCCTCGAAAAAAGTACACATCGATTCAGATTGTCTGCAAACCCAAGAAGGAAGTCTCCGTCACAGACAAGCCTGTCCTCTCCTGTCAGGTAGCACTCCTGCAGGCATCCACCAAAAACACACACACACACACACACACACACACACACACACACACACACACACACACACACACACACACACACACACACACACACACACAAGTGGGTGCCAGTAAAATTTGATTATCGAGGGAAAAGTCCATTAATTTCATTAATGTGGTTCAAAAAATGAGAAGAAATTAGCTCACCAAGCCTGTATTATGGCAGAAGGAAAAGGTAAAGAATCCAGTACAATAACTGACTTACTTGTATTACTACTCTCTCACTAATTATAATTATATGTGAATGAGCTCATCTCAAGCGAGAGACTTCAATCATGAACACAGCGATTTCCAGCCAGTTGTAATTCTCACATCCGTTTTATGTACCGGAGATCTTGCATTGGAAATGTAAAGACCGGCGGCCCGGTAATCGAGTGGTTAGTGTCTCGACCTCACAGTACAGAGGTCGTGGGTTCGATCCGGCCTTCCTCTGTGGAGTTTGCATGTTCTCCCCGTGCCTGCGTGGGTTTTCTCCGGGTACACCAGTTTCCTCCCACATTCCAAAAACATGCATGGCAGGCTGATTGAACGCTCTAAATTGTCCCTAGGTGTGAGTGTGAGCGATGATGGTTGTTCGTCTTTGTGTGCCCTGCCATTGGCTGGCAACTGGTTCAGGATGTCTCCCGCCCACTGGCCGAGGATAGTTGGGATAGGCTCCAGCACCCCCGCGACCCTTGTGAGGATAAAGCGGATCAGAAAATGGATGGATGGATGGATGTCAAGACTGAGTAGCGTTGGCAGTGGCTTAAAATGCTGCCATTAGCATCATTCCGGAGCAACTTCAAAGGAAAAATAAATAAATGAAAAGAAAAAAGCAGACCTCCAGCTCTTCATAGGCTTCCCGATTCCAGCTCTGAATGACTCTGGTTATCACAGCGAGCCTTTGAACATATTGAGGTGTGAGCAACAACTAAATTGTGGTCTGGCAATCCAAGTGGGGGATATGGGTGTCGCGCTAGATGCAATTATGTTGAAACACAGCAGATCTTGTGTATAGTTGTGCAGTGGACATACTGGCAAAATATGGGTAGAAATGAGCTCACTCTGCAGAAAGCAGACAGTGATTCATGATGACAAAGCATATTGTACATTTTCACCTATGTATGTTGTTCAACTGTAGTCACTGATTTAAAAAGAAAAATACAGGAACAATTTGAAGTGGTTATGTAAGTAATTGCACTTGTGTCCTGCAGGTGATTGAACCAAGCATTGGGGATGGAGGACATATCGTAGCCATTTTGCCCATCAATGTTACAGTCCAGTCGGTCTTTTCCAGGTTTAATTTAAATTTTCAACTTTTTTTTTGGACAATATGTATTTGTTGCTAATGCTGAACTGAATATTTTGTGAGAAAAAACTTTGTAATAGCAATGAGTGCAAACATAGATAAAATCCTTGTGTTTTACATATGGCAGAAAATTAAATTTGGTAATGGAATGATTACACCATATATATTTTTGTGATCTGGTATAGGTACACAATCTCACCTTCGTGCGACATCAATTTTGGTCCTCTTGTTTATGGCTCCAAGAAAAGTCAGACCTTCATCATTGAGAACAGCGGAATATTTGAGACCCATTACACCATCTCCTGTGTGGGCATCGGCATTTGCCCTCGAGCAAGGCAGGGGTAGGGCAGCACCACGGCGTGACAGCAGATCAACACAAACATTTCTGTGCTGTGTGCATGATTGTATTTCACTTTGTCGTTGCATAATCTGTCCTTTATCAGAGGAGATACTGTACAAGACAATATTGTATTTTGTGTCATTTTGTGCCGATCACAGTGGTAAGAAAGCCACTCGAGAGAGCACTTCAGAGAAGTCTCATACACCCGGGACCAAAATGAAGAGTGAGTCCTTCCAGAAAGACTCAAACGTCTCACAGGTGAGAGACTACTAGAGGATAAAATTATATGGGCAAAGTTTGATCCATACGTCTATGCTTTTAGTTATTCTATCAATGTATTGTGTCCCCCATGTTTGGTCATAAATGGCATCAACATCAAAGAGGACACCCCCTTTGAAAAACAAATGTTATATAAATTTTTCAGTGAGCTTTATTACAGCTCTCAAAATGTCAAATCTGCTGCTTTTGGTGATTGGAAGCTAATGTTGATAGCTAACGAATGCTACTTTATGTGTGCCAACATACGTCGGTTAGCATAAGCTAAATACATTGGACTCTATTTTCAGGACCAGTGCATATCTGGTCAGAAGCGGAGTATAAATGTGTGCATGCGAGGGCTAGACTTTGTTGTGGTATTTTCGCAGCACCATATAGCTTGGGGCGTAATTTAGAACATGCATTTTGTACCATTTTAGGCGTGAACATATAGTAAGTGAATTGTGCAAAGAAGGTTGATAAGAAACTGCTCTCCATCGCTGCACCAGAGCCAGTGGGATGATTTAAAAAATGAATTGTCTTCTGCATTGATTCAGAGGGTTTGATGCATGCTGTTGACAGATTTATGAATGAAGGTTGATGACATCCTTCCAATGGTCGAATTAGATAGTTTTACCTTTTGTATGTTGTATGAAGATGTTGGCTATAAATTTATGCATATTCACTAGTTTTTATTAAAGAGGCCTAAATTAACGTAACATAAACATATTTAAAAGATCTGTCTGATAATGCTCGTCTCACGTAAATTAATTCATCTTTGACGTTGTACACCCATAGGCTACCCAGTACACGAAATTAGTGAGTTCCACACAGTTTGAATACTAAACTTTACTTTTTCTACAATCCAGAATCGACTCAGCACAGGAGTATTCGCGGTGTTCCCTTGCACGGGAACAATGCAACCAAGGACCCGGCAGGCAGTGACGGTTGAATGTATCGCTGAACAGCTTGGCAGCTGGAGCCAGAATTTGCTTATCGACATCAGTGGCCGTGACCCCTCAGACCACCCTGAAGGCATACCATACAAACTGATAGCTGAAATTTGTAGGCCAGGTGGGAACTGCTTTGAGTCACTCTTACCTCTTAAATTGTAGACCGCTAAACTATCGAGGCTTTTTGTGGCTTCACATCAGATCTTAATTGAAGGATCACAACTATCGCAAAAAAATGTACATTCCTGCGCAAAGAACTACTCTATTTTACCCTTATCTTATTTTAATTTTTCTGCCTGCCATCCAGTAAGCCCTCGAAAGCGGAACATGTTTTATTCAAACTCTGGTTGAACAACTTCCAAGGCGAAATCTATATGAGAAGTGAATGAACTGGTTCCATGCTGAAACTGTCATCAGCATACACAGAACAATAAGATAAATGTAACACTTGTTTTTGCTCTCATTTTTCATGACTTGACCCCAAAGCTTAAAGCCTTTTTCTACTTTATGTACAAAAAAAAGTGTATTTCTCTCAAATATTGTCAAATCTGTCAAGCAGTATTAGTACACACTTCTCCATTGCCACTAGAATCTATCCATGTCACACAGGTGGGCTGTATCAAAATATTTAAATAGTCAGCATTATCAGGACTTGGGCTGCCCACAATAAGTTCCATGTCAAGTTCAAAGGTCATCATTCTATTTTTTCTCTTTTCCATCAATTACCCTTCAGTGGTGGATTTAATCCTTTACTTAGAGATCGGAAATCGACTGAAGCTGGTTGGGCTGCACATTGTCAGACTTGTGGGGCAAGCAACCAACAAACTTGAGTACCTCTACTGATGGCCATGTATTGTAGAGGCTCAAGCAGGAGGCGCATTGATAAAGTGTATTCTGTCCCCTCTTTGTTTTCTCTTTATTAATTGACACTTTTTTTTTGTAATGAAGGCATCGTGTTGGACATGGCCTCTATCTTTGAGGAGCACCATTTATGTCAAAGCATCAGTCAGTTAACATCGGAACAATTTTTCAGTGCTGAACAAGTTTTTGTCCTGGAGGACAACAAGCTCATTTTCAACAAAATTCTCGTGGGGCGAACTTCTCAGGCTCGCTTAAAACTCACCAACAACAGCAAGGTGCCATACACACTCAACTTGGGCATCAGATATGTTGGCATTAAGGTAAACATCTGTCGACTTTGCGTGGAATGATACATCCTAATTGTAGAATGCATAAAATGACCGTTATTCTTTTTTTTTTCCCAGATGTCCGGCAATGTCGATGTTTTTGAATTGTCTTCTCCAACACTGTTCGTTCCCGGCCAATCCCAAGCATTTACATCTTTGAGCTTCACGCCACACACGATGCATCTCTACAATGCTGTGTTTGAGGCTACGTTTGATAAAAGCAGCAGGTATAGTTCGGGATGTTGTGATGTTTTTTTTTTTTTAATCCTTTGAATCATTTGTAAGAGGCACGTTCATACAGATTTTTTTCCTCTGCTCTTTGTTGAAGAATAACAACAAACCTAAAGACCAAGGTCCTGGAGTTTGACATAATTGGTGAAGGCTGTCTGCCGGTTGTGTCCGTGATACGTCCAGCCAGTAAATCAAATCCAGTCTTGCGGTTCAGACGGACATTGGTAGGGCGTACTAATACGCTACCCTTGGTGCTGTTAAATGATGGCAATGTGCCAGCTCAGGTGAGAGAATGCATCTTCTGTTCTTGCTTCATTTTATTGTCAATACTGCACAGTATACTGTGTGCCAACAAATTTGTAAGTTTTTATCATTTATGAGACAAAGAAAACTTTGGTTACAATCATGTTTGTGTTATAAAGGTCCAGATTGACATGACAGATAAACACGATGTGTTAACACTCAGAGCTGTTCCTGAAAACAAATGTGGCACCATCAACTTCTCTCAATTTGAGGACACCCTTGACTCTGGTAATAGTAATCATCATAATAAGAATTATTATTATTCAAAATTCCTGTAAATGGTAATTTGACTGTGAATGTCAAGACTCAAACTTTTTTAAATTATTGCTGTGCGCTGTATTCAATCTATGACCCAACTAGATGACTAAACTTATTGTTTATTGACCAAACAATGGCATCTTTCCGATGCTTGCAACCGTCTTCATTCAGCTGTTCTTCTCAACAGCACTTCGGTTAGTCCACAGAGCTTGCCTGAAACTTGATGTAAATGAGGAGGTTGAATTTGAGGTCACTTTCTCCTCAACCAAACCTCTGAGAGTGGATGACAAGATTTCAGTGCAAGTAAAGGGCAGCCTTTACAGCAATGCTACAATACAAGTGACTGGAGAGGCTTACCAGCAACTCGTCAGTCTTGACAACCTCAGAAAGCCGCCAAGAGAAATGAATCCAAACTATGAGGAGGAAGGTAAGAGTTAAAGGTATTGTAAGACTAGGGGGCAGTACAGTTACTAGATTGTACCATAATAAAAAAAAAAAAAAAAAATTGCAGTAGTTTGAATTGATTTCCAACAACCTCACAGGGGAATCAAGTTTTTGCATCAGAGGCTAATGCTGTTAGCTAACTCAATGTTCCTCTTCTTACCTTTTGGATTAGTGTTACAGACAGTGAAGTACAGGGGCTGTACAGCCTAGCTGCCAAGTCATAGACACACAAACTCTGTGCCAAGGAAGTTATAACGATACATCAATTAAATCATAACCATTTTGAAGGCACACAATGTTTTGTGTCTGCACAGATTATTCCGACTTGCTCAGTTTTGGTCACTGCCATGTAGCTTGTCCAGTCAGAGAGACTTTCACTTTGATGAATCACAGCAGCAGCAACCAGGTGGTCAGATTTGAGTGGCCCTCCGAGGACTCATATCTCACCTTTTCACCACAGGTAAACACTGTAGAGAAGTCTGCTCTCAAAGTCTAATATTTATTTTTGCTGATTTTGTGTATTGACAACTGAAACTGATTCAGAAATAGCATTGGCTTTAATTATGGATTTTCTGTACCACTTATCTAAACCAAGGTCCTGGCTAAACTGGAGCGCAGTATGTTCTTTTATAACTACCAGTTTGTGTTTCTGTTATATTTCATGCATTAGGTTGGTCACCTCCATGCAGGCTGCTCTAAGGAAGTGGCAGTCATCTTCTGCGCCAAAGGACGAGCGACACTAACAAAACAGCAAATTACATGCAAGATTTGTCAGGTGACATTCCAGCTGCCATTGGATCAGGTTCCTGATTGGGATGACCAAAAGAAGACCATGCAAGGTTCATTGACACAGCCACAGCAAACTGGAAAGAATAAGGTTTGCATACTATTATGTTTCTTGACAGCAGAAATGTTTTGCATCTATGTACAGAACTGCATCTGTTTATTTATGCACAGAAACAAAATTCTGAGCCAGGTTGCTCCGTGGTCAAAGGCTCAGATTGGGATTTGCATTTACGTGTCAGTGCAGTTTGTGACTTTGTGAAGTTTAGCTGCAACACCACAAATATCCGATTTAAAGACACTTTGGCTTACCAAAGCAGCACCCACCAGTAAGTTGTTCTGTTATCCCTCACTGAGACATTTCAAGTGTTAGTAATGTATATAAATGCTTGTTGACAATGACAGAACAGCCCCATATTGATTTTGCTTCCGAATGAATCAGCCTCTACCATAATATTGTAAATTGCCTGCGTGTTCAAATTTCTTACGGAATTCCGTATCTTTGTTTCATGTGCAGAGTGCAGATAGTTAATGAGGGTACTGTGAGACTGGAGTTTTCTTGGCAAGTCTTGATAGATTCAAGCAGCTGTCCAATGAGCCAAGAAGGTAAACAATTTGATGTGTATTAATTTAAAAAGGCTGCAGCTTATACACCAACACTGGCCAGCCTTTTCATACTGCACTTAGCAATGCGCAGCATACTTAGCATTGCGCAGCGTGCTGTCAATGAATTCCACTGGGCAAGTGCAACGAGTGTTCAAATATGGAATGCTGCATTTGCATGTTCTGGATAGGCGTGCTCCATGCCCTCAAATTGAAAAAAAAGTTATTTTCGCGAGTGCCACTGTGACAACTTCAGAAGGCGGCAATTCAATAGGTGAGGGGCTGGCGGTGTGATTTTAGAATGCGAACAGCACAGTGGGTAAAGCCTTGTCTTAACTTCCGGGTTGGCTGCTACTCAAAAACATCTGAATGTGGGCAATCTTGCAGGGCGCTTTCGTCCTTGCACGCTGCCTCTCGACAAACACTCTGAAAACCAAGTGCAGTGTGAATAGGTCTTCAGACAGCGTCAAATGTAGCTAGGCATTATTTCCTTTTCAAAGCCAAACTTTTAGATACTACTCTTGTATCGGATATCATTATTTTATTTTTTTTGCGCAAGTGGTCTCATGTTAACATGGTACCCTCCCTCATACATGTTCAGGTGGCATGTCTTCAAGGACCTTGACTGAGGAACAACCTCCCAGCACTCTGACCACTGAGAGGTCTCTTCTGATGGGAAGCCCCCATATGCATTATTTTACTGTGGAGCCAAGTATCGGGGCCATTTTGCCCGGTACTGTCCAAATTTTCTGTGTTTGCTTTTCACCTTTGGAAGCTGGCCAGTTCCAAGGGAGATTGCACTGCAGGTAGTTGAAGTCTGACAATCAGTTCAACTTGTGCATATGTTATAACATGTACTCAATGCAGATAAATCAATAGAGTTTTCCAGCACAATGCAGAATGTGTCCAACTTCAACATATTCCCCTTGTTGGAGTTCAAGTCTTCATGTAACCAGTGACTTGTCATGCCTGACTCCATTATATCCACGTTTTACAGGAATGACAAATCTAACACGTTACATCTCCCAGTGATGTAATCTGACTACAGTTACTCAGAATGATTAATAAAAGGTTATGGCATAGCAATTAATAGAGTTGAGAAGCAGGTAACATAAATCTTACTGAGATTTACCATTCACCAGTTAAGTGGTAGTGCAGTCAACTATGTGGGTGCAGTAGTAACAAACATTTGACAACACTTAAAAAGGGAGCGCATATTTTTCAATCACAGTGTTCACTCACACATGTATGAGGAATAAAACCAATAATTAAGGAATAATAAAATAAAAGAGGAGAGCCCATTCTTAGATAAAGACACAGAGAAACAACTGAACATTATATTACACATAAGAAAAGGAACTACAGTGAATACAGCTTGTGAGAGGTGAAGCCTTCTGCCACAATTTAGCATTCATATATGGAAAAGTGACGGCTGCACCATTTCAACATGTGAACACATGAACTGTATCCAGAGTAGTTACATAAATCACAATGGAGGGAGAATAAGATAAGAAAACCTTTATTAGTCTCGCAACGGAGAAATTCCCAATTCACAGCAGCAAAGTTATGAAAGGAAGAAGTAGAAGAGAGAGATTTGCATTTTCAAGATGGGAATCCAGTCACTATTTTAGGTTTGTGTCAGCCTAAGAAAATATGAAGGTACATCATACACTCTGTGCTAGTGACAAAGTGTTATATAGCTTCAAAAACCCTACGTTTATTGAAAGATTTTTTTTTAAAAACCAACATTAATCGCAGTACATTCAAGCTTAAAGCGAAAGACCCACAAGACTGTGCAAAAAAAATGTAAAATTAAATCGGATTTATGAACAATGTACGTTATAAATAATAAGTTTTGCCATGACAATATGAAGAGTTCAATGTCAGGCCAAAACAGATTGCCTTAAAAATATTTACGCTAAGTGAAGTCTAGAAAGACTATAAGCAAGGAAAGACTAAGTAGCAAGGCTCTTTTTTAAAAAAAAAAATAACAATTAAGTCAGAAAAGGTTTCATTTGTATTATTGTTAATCTAAAAAAACTGTATTCTTAGACGTCACTGTTAAAAATCCACATCTGAATTGGCAAAACTGGTTGTCACTTTTATGTTCAGTTGGGTTGTTGGTTGTGTGTTGATTGTAACTAACACAGGAACTGATAATCGTACCGTATTTTTTTGACTGTCAGTCGTTAGGTAAAAAAATACATATTAAAGAACAAAAACAGACAAAAGTGGTTTGGAGTATAATGTTCACACTGCAAGTTTTTTTTTTTTTTTTTTTCCATATGTGTCAGGTATCTGTTTTTTTTCCATGCAGGTTGAACTGTACAATGCTCCTACAAAAGCCTCTTTTGTAGGTGGATATGTATGCGATACTTAACTCTTGGCGCTTGGCAAATACATTCAGTGCATTACTGCTATCTTCTGACCACCAGCGCTAATGTACCAAAGTTTTCGCCCGCAGCTAAAAGAAAATCAACATGATTAGGGAGAGGGAAGCTTTTGGGTGCCAGTACAAATTTACTTTTAAAATATACAAGTCACACCTTAGTATATATCGCAGTGCCAGCAAACTATGAAAAAAGTTACTTAGTAACTACTTTTAAAATCAAGTAATCAGTAAAGTTACTTTTTCAAGGTAACTATGACAACAATGCCTGCAACAAGGTGTTTACATTATGTCTTTCATAGAAGTAATTCTGCAAATTTCACCAAGCTTTTACTGAGAAAAGCTTGTTGAATATGGCAAAGACTAGTGGGAGATGTTTAGATTTTTCTGTTGGTAATTAAAATGGGGCATGACATATTGTTGTTTGTCTTTGTAATTTGAGCCTAGACTAAAACCGAATCTGTGTTTTCAATGGGATATCAACATGATTGCTTGATGGTTTCTCCCTGTTAATGCACATGTTTTTTTCCAGTATCCCTAATTTACGTGCTGGGGCTCAGGGGCCAACCATCTCGTTTTGTGGGCGCAGCATATTGCCCCATTGCCACTTTGACCTTGAAGACTCTGACTATATCAGCGGGAGCCGACGCAATCCCGAGTTCAGGACTTATTTGGAACCTAACATCAGAGTGATAGAATGTAAAACTCTTGGCCTCTTCACCCCAGCAAAAAGGTTAAGGAAATACTATCCATTAATTTAATATCCGATGTTTAGTTCATGGCTATGACTAGAAAGATGACTTGTGCTCATAAATACCGTGCTGTCCATTCTTTGTGCAGATCTTTTACTGTGTTGAACCCAACCAACGTAGCATACTCATTCCAATGGAAATGTGAAGACACCGGTAACAGTCCATTTAGTTGCCTCACACCATATGGTTGCATTCTGCCTGGAGAGAAGTCAGAGGTAAGGAACAGAGCGATTGCTATTTTAGCATGATTGATGTAGCTGTGTTCCCAGTGACAGTAATACATTTAATCCCTTGATAAGCTGTCCCGTTCAAGCTGTATCTAACGACCGGTATCACCATTCATTTTCTATACCGCTTTCCGTCATTGCGTCACGGTCTATCCCTCCTTTTCCTGGTTGCCAGTCAGTCATTGCACAACGAGACAAACATTTAGACTCACACTCACACTTAAGGGCAAATGTGATTCTTTAAATGATCTTGTTTCTGCAACATGGGAAAGGAAGATGGAGTGCTCAGACATGACACAAGCATGGGGAGAAATTGCACACAGGAGGAGACTTTACACAGATCTGATAGGCCGGATTGTATCTGCAGATAGTTTGCATTTTAAGCAAAATCGGTCATAGGTTTTAATGTCATAATTTGACGATCCATCAATGACATCATTGATCGAATCTGCAATATAAGACATGACCCAAAAGAGAATCGCGTTCACTCAAGGGACATTCTGTGCCTTGTTAATAATCTAACATTTCTTCGCATATACGGTCAGGTTTTTCCTACTCATTTTTTCCAATATTCTCCATTCAACCCCCTACCCCCACAGATTTCCTGTGTTTAATGTTCGACAGCATTTTGGGGAGAATTTTTTAGGGTTTCATTTGAATTTTCCCCCAATACATTTCACTGGCTCTTGATTATATGCAAATTTTGATTGTAGGCCGGTCCGGTCCCAGTGCCCTGTGTGAATAGCCTAAGGGGTCGAGTGTATGGTAAATAAAGAAGTTGCTTGAATAGGCAACACAGGATGACCTATGCCAAGATTTGAACCCAGAACCTCTTGTCAGTGCAGTTAGATGTGCTTACCCACTACTCAACCGTGCTTCCTACTTTTACCGAATAGCATCCCTTTTCATTCGTTCTGAACTACTTTTTTTCCTGGCGAGGACTGCTTAACACTATGAAGCTGCTTTTTTGTGTCACCATTTAAGATAAGAAGTCCTTTATTTGTCTCACAATGGAGAAATTCCCAATTTACAGCAGCAAAATTATGAAATAGGACATATCTCCCCACTGCAATATCCCCAATGTGTCTGTTTGGCTCTCTTGAAGAATCATGATTTTACCAAACCTTCAACATAATCTTTTTCTGTTTTTAAATAGATGTGCTTTAAATATGTAGCCGAGCGGGTTAATGATGTGGAGTCATTCTGGAGCTTTGTGATTGAGACGCTGTCTCTGTCCATGCCCTTCCTTTGTGTGGGCTCCATGAGAGAACCTCTCGTCTACTTTGAAATACCTCACATCGACTTTGGCGAACAACTTATTGGTATGTCACGTCCATTGGCATCCAGTGACATCACACATTATAGTCTCTGTATTTGTCAAATCAGGACTTATTAAATCAGGCCTTATTCTTTTACTCATTTGTATTGGGTCTTTATTTTTTACTGTATTCTCTTTTTATGTTTGAGATAAATGAAGATCAAATCAAATGAAATCTCACTGTCAATGTGAACAATTGTACAACTGAGCATGCGTTTCATATTTTGTAGAATAATTCTCGACCATGAAGCAGTAAATGCATTGGGTATTTTGTTTTTTGTTTTTTTTCCTTCAGGTAATAAAGTGTCACAAACAGTGAATATAGTGAATAGAGAAAAGGAACCGTTTCACTTCACTGTTTTGCAGCCATCATTACTCTGTGAAGATCAGGAGTCCAACCTCATTTTGCAGCCAATGTCTGGCACGGTGCCGGCCAAAGACAGGTGAATGACGTTCAAGGATTCAGTTCAATGTAACAGAATGGAGTGGATTTTATGACAAAGAAATTACTTGAACATGATGAGGTTTGACCTGTGACATATGATGCAGGTTGCCCTTGTCAGTGTCCTTTAGTCCTTGCCGACAGGGATACGTGAGCTTCAAAATAACCCTGAGGGTGAAGAGAAAATCCAAGTTACTCATCCTCACTTGCAAGGCACATTGTTTTAAAATGACTGCCTCTGTACAAGTGGAAAATCCAGATGGCGGCCTCAGAGAGCTGAGTCCTGACATTTTAGATACTTTAGACTTTGGAAAGGTAAGAATTTCTTCTCACAAGTATGATGTTGGAACCATGACACTGAAAAAAGTGAGTTGTACATCATGTGACATGTGCGTATACTATAGGTGGGAATTTCAGAGCAAGCCACCTTCAATATCCTGGTGACCAATACAGGGAGACACAACATGGATGTGAACTTTGAACTGGAAGGGCCAAGTGAGCTGCTTCAACACCTACTAACAAAACCCAAAAAATCCACCATCGCTATTGGGCAGAAGCTGCAGTCTGCAATCTTCTTTTCTCCCCGGAGCAGTTGTACCCTCACAGACATCAGACTGATTATCAGGGTAAGATGCAATTGAATACAGAAAAAGGGTGTCAGCAGATAGTTGTGCATTAGGGCTCACGTATTCTGGAAAAGGAAAAAAAAGTGGACTGATACCACAAGGCTGGAAGCACAAAATTGTCCAAAATGGTGAACATGAGCAAAATTAGATGTATATTACATTAAATATATTTTGGTGTTTGTGAAAGGTTGAACTAAGAAGTCTAACGGACTAATTTACTGTTTCAGAGAGGTGTCCCGGGATTGTCAATAAAATGTGTTGACTAGAATGGGTTAATTCTGTTTGTGGGAAATTGGGATTTTTTTTTTTTTTTTTGAGAGCAGAACATACTTGTGAATTCAATATACTGTATTTTTTTTACGAGGCTAAGCTTGAGACTTTGAAAACTACTGAAGTAAACATCAAATGCCCGAGCAATCAGGAATCGTAAACCTTCCTGCTCAACACCAACCCAACCCATGTGACTCTTGAACTCTTTAGGTTAAGTTTTACTGCTTTTGTTTCTTCAGGTGAATAAAGGCCCATTGTTTACCATCGCTATTGAAGGCAGAGGTGTGTCACCCGAACTTGAATTCTCTTTCACAAAGTACAACTTTGGCAAGAACTTTGTGTATTGTCCTGGCATGAATTCAATATACTGTATTTTTTTTACGAGGCTAAGCTTGAGACTTTGAAAACTACTGAAGTAAACATCAAATGCCCGAGCAATCAGGAATCGTAAACCTTCCTGCTCAACACCAACCCAACCCATGTGACTCTTGAACTCTTTAGGTTAAGTTTTACTGCTTTTGTTTCTTCAGGTGAATAAAGGCCCATTGTTTACCATCGCTATTGAAGGCAGAGGTGTGTCACCCGAACTTGAATTCTCTTTCACAAAGTACAACTTTGGCAAGAACTTTGTGTATTGTCCTGGCATGGTGCCAGCATCCCACACTCTTGTGTTAAAAAATAAAGGCAACAGGGACATCAGGTTCGTAGCTCTTCCGGCACGTGTCCTTGTTACGTCAAGATGAAAAATACATCAAGGAATGTCGTCATTAATACATGGAATTCTGTTCCTCAGCGTCAAGTGTCAATCGAAAAAGTGCTCGTTCCTGGAAATTGGATTCAAACCAGATGTTTTGTGCCCTGGCGCAGTGGTGGAGGTTCCTATCACCTTTTACCCCCGTGAGCCACGACGTTACCACGAAAGCGTCATCTTCTTAATAAACAGCTGCATCAAAGAACAGGTGGACATTTGGGGACAAGGAATTGAATTGAAGGTGAACACATTCATAAGCAATCTTTGCTCCATTTTCGCAATTTCACCACCTTATAAAACTTTTTAACGTTTTACTGAAATTGGAGATTCAAGCTTCACCCACAGTTTTTTTTTCATCTTTTCCCAGTTGGGTGTATTGGCTCCTAAGCACCAGAAGGTGAAACTTGGAAATCTGACACCCGGTCAGAAAGTTGTAAAACGGGTGCAGCTAGTCAACCGAAGTATTTTGGACATTTCCTTCACCTTGCAGCTAGACACAAAAAAGCCACATCTCGAAACCAAGGTATGGAAGCATGAATTAAATCATTAGGAGGGGTCAGCAAAATCGTCGCACAAAGTACATTACATCTTCTTTTGTTTATTCACCTCCAGGATTTATCATTCAGCCCAGAGGCCGAGCTGTACCTCAAATGTCTTCAAGGTTCATGTAATGTCGAGATTTTGTTCACACCCCATCAGCGTATTTCTCCCTTTACTGCTGAGCTGAATGCTGAGATTGACAGCTATTTACATCCCCTGCTGACCATCCAGGGATGCTGCCAGGTACGGTTCAAATGTGCAAGGCAAACCCTGTAACATTCGATACCCAACCCCCTTCTGAAACGCTTGTTCATTTCTTGTGAGCGAGTGAGTTAGTGAACGAGGGAGTGTATGAGTGAGCAAGTTCCCCTACCAAGGAGGCAGACACTCACTGCGTCTGCACTCTGACATCTCCCTTGCAGATTGACACACATCCATAGAATCAACGTGTGCACGTGTTTGAACTGGTTTTGTGCTTGTATTTCAAATTGTCATTATTACAGTTTATTTATTGTAAGATTAAATAAATACACTAAAATCACAAATGAATCAAATCACAAATTTAAGAGACAATCGTGTTACGGTTCGTTACTAATTGTGGGGTGGGATAATGCGTTTCTGATTCCTACTTTCAGGGTGTAGAGGTGCGTCTCGAACAGGACCACCTCGGGTTTGGAGCAGTTGTCCAGCATTGCCAGGGCAAAAAGAAAGTTGTCATAATCAACACAGGAGAACTTTGTGCCCGGTAAGAATGATTTCTGAAATTCTCATTTGTAAAATTCCAAAGACAAAATGTGGAGAGATTTTTGCTTTTACAAATGTGCACTTGTACCAATTTCCATTATTTTGTTGTGATAGTCTGATCTGATTTTTAACCGCATCCCCTTCTGCTCTTTGAACAAATAAAAAGGTTTCAGTGGAAAACTGAAGACTTTCCTCCAGAGTTGTCCGTCCATCCAAGTAAAGGCTCGATCCAGCCAGGAACGGAGGTTCCTCTAGAATTTACATTTGCCCCCGTTCGCTTGAATAATGACTCAAGATACGAAAACTTAACTTGCTGCATAGAAGGCACCGCTTCACCCATCACTCTCACTGTGACGGGCTCCTGCATTGCAGCCGCCTCCAACAAAGAGGTTTGGTTCATTTGTACAGTATTTTTACTGCTTATGCTCATCTGTGCAGTGTTTGACAAAAATAATTTTCAGTGAAAGACATTTGTGGATTGATGTAAATGTACTTAGAAGTGGTATGATCAGATATATTCATTTCTTCATTGCATATCAATGAGTATTAGTTTGGAATTGTTTCTTTTTTACTTGTTCTGTTCTAAATTGTGATGCTTTCCTTTTATTTACTTCCAGGTCATCAATTTTTCTTGCCCAGTGCGTGGTTCACACACCCAGACGCTGTCTGTGGTCAACCCAACAAACCAGCGTTGCAGCATACGACCTGTCATCAATGGCAAGCACTGGAGAGCTGCGCCGTCTGTGGTTCTCGAGCCTCTCCAAAGCAACTCCTATGTGGTCACCTACAGACCGCTGACCATGACTGTTGATGGAAAGAAACATTTGGTAAAAGAACGATTGCTTTGACAATTTAATTTCCATCTGTTTAATTGTTTATGTGCATCTAATTATAGTTAATGTTCTATTGAATTATCCAGAACTGACACAACTGGTTAATATGTCGGCTTCACGACGCAGAGGTGTGGAGTTCGATTCCGGGTCCTGGTCTTTCTGTTTGGGTTTTGTATGTTCTCCACGTGCCTGCGTGGGTATTCTCCGGGTGCTCTGGTTTCCTTACACATTCCAAAAAACATGAATGGTAGGTTAATCAAGAGAATGAATGTCCTTAGCTGTGATTGTGAGTCTGAATGATTGTTCGTCTATGTGTGCCCTGCGATTGGCCATGGCACACATAGACGAACAACCATCCGAGCTCACACTAGGGACAATTAAGAGTGTTCCATTAACCTGCCACACATGTTTTTGAAATGTGGTAAGAATCCGGAGTTCTTGGAGAAAACCTCCGCATGCACAGGGACATGGAAACCCCACACAGGAAGGCTGGAGCTGGAATCGAACCCTGCACCCGATACTGTGAGGCTGATGCGCTATCCAGTCGTCCACTGGGCTGCCCTTTTCGTTCTTTTGAAAGTAAATTATTGTTTTTTGGACCCCTGCATTTGGAACCCCCCCCCCCCCCCCCCCCCCACCCAGACAA